ATATGTATAAACATCTAAGTCAAATCAAACTATAGCAGGCATTTTACCCTTTGCAGATTACTTGTACGCTTAGGAAATTCCATTCATGCAAAGGGCAAATTATTCACAATCATAGTTTTGATTCATCCAAATATTTGCCGGTGACCCAACAGTATGCCATCGGGCCTTATGTGACCGACCGAGACAGAGGAGCTCTGAAGTCACTAAACAACACAACACACGAAAAGCATTGGACATTTAGCGCTGTACCTCAGTGTAGCATCTCCCTGTGGTTCTGTGCAGATAGCAAATAAAATCCAGAGACAATTTGGTCTCAGCTGCAGAGATCTGAAACACTCAGAAAGAGAAAGCCAGAGAGAACTCAACTCCCATCTCTCTCTAGATCTACACCAATAGGCTAAAATCCTCCACTCACATCCCATCTGAGAGAGAGAGAGGGGGAGAGAGAGTTAAAAGGAGAGCGGGTGGGGTGGGGGGAGTGCTTGCTTGGATGAATATAGGGGAAAAACTGAAAGGGAGAGTGAGCATAAGTCAGGGAGAGAGAGTGAAAGGGAGAGATTTATGAGTTTGGTTTTGTGTAAGAGAGGGAAAACAGAAAGAGAGGAAGACAGGAGTTTAAATCTCTAATTACAACTGCTTATCACAAGCCCATGAGCAGATGGTAGGAATGGGTGACACTGGACTTTGTACACACTACACCGTTACGCCCGTCTTTTGCTTGTGCATGTGTATGTATGTGTGTGTGTGTTTGCATGCCAAAAAGGAACGTATGCACATATGCCGAACAATGAGGACAGCTCGTAAATAGTATGTGCCTTCTCACCTAACGTCGCCTTTTTCTCACAGGGTATCAGTGCCTGTTGCTCTTCCTCATCAGCATGAGAATGAGTACTAGAATGAATCTCCACATGCATCGGATGGATTTCATGAAATACATACTTGTGTTCTATTTTTCTATCATCAGGTCAAAATTTCAGTATTTCTCCAGGACTTTGGTTAATAAACAAGAACAAACAAAACTGAGCGGTCCGCAGTGCTAATTAGAAAATGTTCTCACGCTGAATCACTAACCAAGATGGTGAAAATATTTAACATTGTGCCTGCTACTGAAAATCAATCACAACAAAGTAAAAGTAGTTGCAACTACTGGCAGACTCAAAAACATGTAAACAGTATAATACCAAGAATTGGTGAAATAAAACCAAGCCCCCAGAAGCCACGAGAGGGTGAGGGAACCAAAAAACTGTAAAGTCAGTTATTCTCTTATATCAACTGTTGAACTGATGGTACATTCAGGTAAAATTTATTCCTTTTTGTCCAACAGCTTCTAAGTGTGTGTGTGTGTGTGTGTGTGTGTGTGTGTGTGTGTGTGTGT